CTCACTTGGACAGTTGGTGGTATACCTTTCAGATATTACAGATAGCCTATTCTTTGGTACTTACTTCCTCCAGGAGGATGACTCCTACTTTGATGGATATCTGTACACATGTATGGTGCTTGAGTAATTTAATAAGGTTATTATAACAAGGTGATCTGTAGATAGATAAATACAGCCAATACATTTTAATAGGCAGAGGTTTCATTTTTCAAATTACCCCTTTCAAGGGAAATAGTCATGCTCAATTATTGTTCTGCCACATAATGTGGACAAATACATGACTTGATAATGGAAGAGTAAATTAAAATCTGTATAAGGCAAAGAATACTGAGCAGCAGTCCCATTCGCATCTGACCATGCTGCCTGATTAAGTTCTTACGAGGCAGTTTGGTAAGAGGCCCTTCCCTGATCTGATAACTGCCACGGAGAAGCCAAATGCAGAGTCAATCTGCAAATACTTAATCCTCCAGAAGGGAGATTAAGTGTATAATTGACCTATATAATCCATGTATCATCTCCAGTCAAATGTTCCCTGGGCCTGGTTCACAATGACACGGGGGCCTGAAGAAAGCCAGCGCGGATGCGGCATTACCACCAATGTGGATTCCATCCAAGTTCGAGATGGCTTTTTAATCACTCATCTCCGAGCCTGTGAGGTTTAAGCAGATGAATTCACCCTAAGCACATCTCTTTTAATCCTGATTTTCTTCTCAGTCTGTGTCTTCAAGAAGTACAAGGAGGAAAGAAAATTAATTTTTGTTTAGACCTTGAAATCTTAGGTGCTCCTCTTGATGATCTGATCTCTAATTTCAAAAAGCATGTTTTTGTTTTGGGGAAGATGTTGAATTAATAACCAGAGAAGGGAAAAAAAGCCATCTGCATGATTTATGGACACTCCAACTTTAAATCACTGTCTTCAAGTTATTTCTTGAGCTGTGCTTTCCTCCTTAGCTGCTGCTTTAGGAATATGGAGATTATTTCATATCCATAATTTATATTTTCTTTAAAAGTCAGCAATAATTTTCAAGGAGGACGAGTTTCCACTTGAGTCTTACAGCAATCTGATTATCTTTTAAAAATTCAAGATCTTTAATATATTTAAATTTATTGTTATTCTACACACTGGAATATTCTCTTGCTTTAAATCTCTGAATATTTTGTGTTAAGATATTATAAACTATTATTTTATAGCAACTGAAAATAATATACAGTTGTATTTCATTTGCTAGAAAAAAATTACAAAAATGCAGATAAAAATGTACAGTTGCATATCTGAACTATGAGAAACAGTCTGAAGATTCTTTTCCAATCAGCACTTTATTTCGGACTGGTTAGTTTTCTCTTAGGTGCATTATCAAAAAAGATACTTTTGATAATGTAAACCAAATATATTAATGTAAAGACTATGTAAACCAAATATATTAATAAACAGGTAAACTTAACTGCAAAAAATGACCTGGTTAGGCAACATTATGTCCAATTGTATTTCTCCAATAAACCTAGAGAATGCTTTGTTAAAAAAAAATTGGTGAAGATGAATTTGGAAAGCCTGTTCTTAAGTTACATAATAAGATAGATAAAAATGCAGAACATCAAATATAGAGCCCCAAATGCTATGCCGATAGTCTCCCACAAGCACCCACTTCCAGCCAAAAGTACAATGACGTGGCAGAGAGAAACCAGCTCAGAGAGTACTGGATAGGGTCTTAGTTAAAGCAGAAAATGCACCATTAAATGACCAGCTATTAACCCAAATATTCTCAGATACAAACACACACTAGAACCATCCAGCCTTTTCTACAAAGACACACTTAAAAAGGGCAAAGAAAGGAGCAATACCAGATAGTAAGAACTTAAAGGACTTATCAGGTAAATACAACTGAGACTTAAAACACAGTTAAAAATGTGACAGGAACTCTTAGAACATGCCTCCGAATGACAGATGCCAGCAGGAACTAAAAACCAGAGAATGACACAACAGTCAGAATCAACAACCCCCAAACAGCAAACAATCTCAGAGATATATATTTTTTCTTCATTCAAAATGTTAATTTGCTATTATTCATTTTTGCCATTTATCAAAATGCAACAATTTGGAAGAAAAGTCTCCCAGATCAACAAGTCTTTCTCAATAGATTTCTGCCAATTGTTTAGAAGCTTGCCCTAGGACCACTACCATTAAGAAATGGAGTTTCGAAAATAAGTTCATTGCAGCAAGAAATGTAGGATGGCAGCTTTCATGAACCCTTCTGCCTTGATATTCCTGTTCCCTTGTTTAGCTTGGTGGACACGAGAGTCTTGCAGAGCATATATGCAAAGAAATAAACACCATGCTTGAGGAAACAGAAGCCGAAAATAATCAAACATGTTGGTAATCTGATGTTTTGCTGCTAGATTATAGAAAAACAGTAAGGACTGAATTAAATTACTGAGGCTGCATGGTAATGAAGCTTTTTGAGAAGCTCTGGGTTTTTTAAATGACAAATGTTTTAAATCCATGACAGATTCAATAACTTTTTTTGCACTACATCAGTTAGGTTGCCTAGCACCAATATTCTGTAAATTAGGAGATCAGGTTATTTGGAAAGTAAGAAAGTAAATGGCAAAGAAACTTGTCATGTCTAAATAAGCGTCTGAATTTTTTTCCCCCCGGGGGTTGAATGGTAGTTTAATGGTTAAGCCTTTAAAAATCAGATACTCTGGAGGGTATAAGTAAGATTTTGCTGGGAAAACAAAACTGGGACAACATGAAACTAAAATGTGGGGGTTCCCTCATTGTTACCAATGCCATTTTAGTCTGGTCAGTGGATCCAACAAGGGACTGGAGATATTTATGAATTTCTACATGGCCCTAACCATAACTAGCTTTCTGAAAAGCATATATTCTTTGTAATATTTCTTTTCACTATTAATTCACATCAAAGACTGGAAGGCTTGAATTCGCCTGTGTTCTTCAACAGCCAGGCAAGTCCAGTTTTACCATCTGTGCTAACCAAGGCTGCACTCTTACTTTTTAAATGAAAATTTGGTTACATTTTCCTTTAAGAAGAGATAATGTGCCTTGTTGCCTTCAACAAGGTTACCTGGCTTGCACTTCTAATTTAAAAAAAAAGAGAGAGAGAGAGGGAAGGGTGGATTATTTGTTGATGAAGTGACAGACTAAACTGCATATTAAACATCAAATTCAGTACTAGATGTTTTTAAATTTTAGAGCACATGAGGTTATTGGTTGTTCACACACGCTCACGCAGGAACACACACGCACACACGGGCCACATAGAACTGAGAATCAAAAGATACTGATCAAAGGAAAAAAAAAAAGGCAACCTAGGCATTGAAAAGAACAATCCACAGGCTTCTTGAAAATTTGTGGTTTGGAGTTTAATTCGGTGATGATGGGCAGAGGGTCCACACTCATAACTACAGACCCGAGGGTACTGCCTGTCTCTGTTTTCAATGCCTATTGGATGGTGATTGTGCCCCGGACATTCTAGGCTCAGTACTTTCATAAGGCACGCATGCAGAGAAGGAGAGGACCCGCTGGTGAGCTGTATGCATGTATGAGGCATTCTCAGTGGATGTGGGTCATGCTAGAAGATGTACACAGGAAGATTATTTGATTCTAATTCATGCCACTTGATACAATGTGATAAAACATTTGACATGAGAGATAAGTTCCATTTTAATCTGAGAGAGGACGGGTGGGAATTAAAAAGTAAGAAGAGTTTTGTTGAAGAAAGGTGATGCAGGGGAGAGAGGGGTATCGAGCACAGAAAGGGAATGATTGGAAAAGAAAAAAAAAGGAGCCTTTCAACACAAGGAAAGCAAATGAGCTGGAAGACAAAGCATGTAAAAGTCAGAAGCCGCAGAATCTGAAAGCGGTGCCAACAATGAGCTCACTTAGCTACGGAACAAACACACACACACACACGTACACACAAAACTCAATGTAAATTGCTAAACACAATCACAGAAAAAATATAGAAACACATATTCCATAGTAGATCAAAACATTAATGTTCGGGCTGGCACTAAAAATACAGAAACCTGGACAGGAGGAGCTCACGTTTCACGAGACAGAAGTAGGCTGCACAGTTAGAGTCACATGGAGACATGTATGTCAGCTTCCATGCACTCTGGCCGGGTCTACACTGGCAAATTTGTGGCAAAATATCTGGCTAAATTAGGTAACTCCATCTGCTTTGGCCTGAAAGAAGCAGGCAATTTGAGACCGAAGCAGATTACTTTTTTTTTTCTTTTTGCCTCAGTGACCTGCTTTGCGGTACAGATGTAGTCACAGTGAAAATAAAATTGCTTTAAAACTATTAACTCTTGGGAATCTACATTTTCTGAAGTTTGATCTGGGTCTGCCTCCCAGTGTACTCATTCTTTGTACACCTGCTTCTTCTCATAAAATTTGAGGTGGGCGGGTAGGCAGGGGGCAACCCGGTTTAAAACTGCAACCGACTGAGCAACTCTAACATAAATGTTTGCTGAAACCCAGGGCTAAGGATTTCTAGTCTCCAGGAATGAAATCATCTTTGAAACGATAGCGATGTGACATTTACTGCACATCTGCATGCCACAGCTGGTGTTGGGAAGGGACCACCCCCAGGAGAGAGTTGGCTTCAGCCTCTCCAAAGAGAACATCTCCCTAAAGCGAGGCCAGATTGCAAGGAGGAAAACCATGACCAAGAAAGGTCGTTTGCCAGTTAGAGAAAGCTGCCTCACAAGCTTCATGCAGGAACGAGCCTGCTTGCTGAGAGGCTGTGCGCCGTCCTACGTATCACACAGATTGGGACTGAGACACTGCCACACCAGAGTGGGTTCGGAACAGACACATGACAGATAAGAGCCTAAGGCAGAGGGAGAGGAAAAGATTTTGTTTGAGTAAGGACCAATCCATTTTCTCAAAATGTGACTTATCCTCCTGTCTCTTATTTTGTCACATTTTGGAGGTCTCCTCCTTGGTATTCAAGGAGGAGAAGGCATTTACTTACATCAAATAACCTTTCTATATACATCTCCTCATTGACCTTATCACGCAGGACATCCTGAGAATGGCGGACGAAAGTCACGTAGGCATCGGCCACGTCCATCCCGGGTTTCTGCAAAGAAATAGGAAAACATGAAAATGGTATTTTCACACAGCCACTCTTCCTAATTACCCATTCATTCTTATCCTCCACCTGCCTCCACACACCCTGCACTGCTTTTGTCCAGTTACCTCTGTAGCTACAGGATAGACGTCCACAGCCTGGACTGGTAGGAACTAATATCAGAATTACCTGCTCTTTCCAGAAATCAAGTCTGGCTAATAAGGGAGTTGAGACTGTAGGATTTTATAGCTATCTTTCTACGTTTTTTTTTTTTTGGTCTGGAAAATTTATCTAATAGATAAATCTTCCCTGAATAATCCAGAGTCATTCTTTGCCTTTGCTTTGCATTGAAGCTCCCATTAAAGAATACCTCCAAAACCTGTCTTCAACTATCTGTCCTTAATATATCATTAGATAGGTGACAGCCTTCTTGATTCCCTTTTCTTCTTTAAAAGAAATGAGAAAGTGCTGAGTTAAAAAATCATATTTCAATCTACCCACGTCTCATTTTGGGAGGTAGTTTAACTTGAGTGTATATAGTATTTGCTAATTAGTTTATTCAGAGGAGACATTCAACTATTTTCTTCTCCAGGAGAATAACAAAAGCATTATTATTATTATTATTATTATTTTCAATTTACATTCAACTATTTGTCTTTGCTTTCAGAGCAGCCGTAGAGTCTAAAGATTTAAAAAAGAAGAAGAAGAAGAAGAAGAAGAAGAAGAAGAAGAAGGGGAGGAGGGGAAGATTTGATTTTTAAATAAATTAGATTTTCTGGGAAGGTAAGCAGGTGGTTCATCCAGCAGTTGGGAAATGATTTATTGTAAGGCAGTTAAAAAAAAAAAAGAAAGAAACTCAGAATGTACAATAAGATGTCGAAATCAAAGTTATATCCAAAGAAGCCTATTAAAGCACTGTAACATGGGTCATTAGGAGAGTGGCCACAAACCCCTCAAATTTCCACAGTAGATATGTAGTTTGCTAATAACTAAAAAAGATTAGTTTTCATTACTGTGATTTACCTTAGATCACAAAGTATCATTTCTCTACAAGATGTGACTGTCAGGCACTGTAAATTGAAGTTAGTTAACACTTCTGTGTAATTTCCAGGGTGAAAATGAGGAAGGTTTAGAAACAGTAGGACTGTATTTTTTTTTTCCTGATACAAAGCAAACAATTATCAAGCAAAGGGCCAATTCTTGGCCCCTGGGATACTAGTAACATTTCTTAACACCTGCTGAAACAATGACAAGGTATTAATTTGAAAAACAATGAGGACAACCCAAAGCCACAGTAGTCAAGTGTTACACTTTCAAGCAATTTTCAGTGAATGGATTGAGCAGGTTCCAGGATGGTCCTATATAATTGTTGCAGTTTTATGATACAAAGCAATAGAGCTTCTCTCCAATGAGATGTAAGTGATAGCTATCAGTTCTAAACTGGCACCACTCTCCTTCTCTCCCTTTGGCATCTGCACATCAAAGAGCATTCTCAGTAGGGATGGGAACCACTACCTGGGGGACTTCAGAAACTTATTATGGTTTCTATTTCTTCCCTAGGGATGCTTGTGGCAGGCATGGACTATTCCTGGGCATATGCAGCCATCTTAGAGCTAAGATGCAAAGCCAAATTCAGCAGACCTGTTAGTAACCCACAATGTTAGAAATAATCATCTACAGTGATGGTTATTTTCACTGTTCCTTCTCTTTTCACTATGTTTTACTGTCCTTAAAGAGCCATTTCATTTACGTTTTTAGGACTTTCATATTAAAAAAAATCAGCGTGGCTCATCTTACCCAAGTAGTTAAGAAACTTTACCATTCTCTCTCTTTTGACTCTGTCTTATTTATTTTAATAGCATTTATCAATAGATGACATTATATTATATATTTATTTGGTTGGTTTTTGTCTGTCTTCTCCCACTAGAACATACATTTTATGAACACAGGAACTTTGTTTGACTTATTTTCTGTTGTGTCCCCAGCACACAGAATGGTGCCTGGCATATAGTAGGTGTCCAGTAAATACTTGCTGGATGAACAAATTCTTGAATAAATGAGCAAATCCCTTCTCTACCTCCCATTTTTAAATTTTTTTTGAGTTGGAGTCTCACTCTGTCGCCCAGACTGGAGTGCAGTGGCCGCTCCCGGCCACCGCAGCCTCGACCTGCTGGGCTCTGGTGATCCTTCTTACTCAGCCTTCCAAGTAGCTGGAATTACAGGCCTGCGCTACCACGCCCGGCTGATTTTTTGATTTATTGTAGAGATGAGGTCTCGCTGCCCAGGCAGGTCTTGAACCCGCGGGCTCAGGCAATCCACTCACCTCAGCCTCCCAAAGGCGCGGGATTACAGGCTGAGCCACCGAGCCCGGCTCTACCTCCCATTTTTAAGCTCTTCAGTCACACTGCATGGATTTTTACTGGATCCCCCACAAATCAGAACTTGTCAAATCATTTAAACTTTTCTGGATCTTAGTTATGCCATCTGTAAAATGGAATCAATAACAGTTTTCTTACTTACCTTCAGGAATAATTATGATCACCAGCTAAAATAATGCATGTGAATATGTTTTGAAAGTCATAGAATACAATACAACATGAACTATTATGAGTCTCTCCCCGACAATATTATATCATGTCATAACCTTACCTACCTTTAGAATCTATTTTAGAACCAAGAAGAAAAAAGGGTCCTCGGAGGAGCCAATATAGAAATAAAAATGATAAAGTCTCTGCACAAAAATGTATCATTTTCTCACAATAGAGTTCTTAGGCCATCACTCCCAACCATCTTCCTTTGAAAGTAGCTTCCCATTCAGTTCTAACAAGTTTGATTTCCATCCCTTAATGGATCAGGAAGAGGAAAGAGCAGAATTGTTTGACACAAGGGTGCTGACAAGAGAGAGCTATCGCTTTCCTGATGCCCTGACCATGCGGAAAAAGCTGCCCAATTGCAACACTAGACACACAGACTCACCAACCGCTGGGGTTTGAGACTATCAAGGGCAAGGGCAAGCAACCCCTATCCTTTGGGAGGCCCTGTGGGGCACAGGTCACTATGCAGCTACTGGGGAAAGACAGTCACAATGGTGATCCCAGGTCATTGAGAAAAGATTAAATTACAATCAGAACCCTGTTTAAAAAGGCAGGGGCAAAAAAAGGCAGGAAGAATGTGTAATGCATTCTAAGAAGATTTCTGATCAAAACAATTAAAATAAAAACTGTCAGCCGGGCTCGGTGGCTCAGCCTGTAATCCCATGCTTTGGGAGGCTGAGATGAGTGGATTGCCTGAGCCTACGGGTTCAAGACACGCCTGGGCAACTTGGCGGGACCTCATCTCTACTATAAATAAAAAATTAGCAGGGCGTGGTAGCGTGTGCCTGTAGTTCCAGCTACGTGAAAGGCTGAGGCAGAAGGATCGCTGAAGCCCAGCAGGTCGAGGCTGCGGTGGCCGGGAGCAGCCACTGCACTCCAGTCTGGGCGACAGAGTGAGACTCCAACTCAAAAAACAAACAAACAAACAAAAAAAACTGTTGACAGACAAATAAGCTAGTCTGTAGTTACAGCTGAAAAATATACTTGACTAAACAACTGATGCTATTGGATCAATTAGGCATTATACCACATTACTACCCACACACAGTGGAATAAATTTTTAGGCGATGATTTTTAATATATCACAATGTCATTGTTTATTTTAAACATGGGTTAGACAGACTGATAGAATATGACATAGATTTTAGAAAACATTTAAACAAATATCTGTATAGTTAACTGTACCCACATGTGGGAGACATTCTTTGTGAATAAGCCACTCTTTGGCTCAGGAAAAATAGGACATTTTAATCTTAGCTTGTCCCTTCTAGTATACTTCTGAGCTTGAGGAAGACAAGCTCCAATTTTCAGCATCCTAAGCAAGCCCTAATTATGAATGCAAATCTGCTACATATACCAAGGGGTCAAAAACTACATCTAAAACAAAGAGATATGCTTTGGGGATTAGGCGATGTTTTGAATGACTGGTACCAGTGCCACTCTCCATTAGTGTGGATAGTTAAGAGACAAATTTCAAAGGTAACTAACTACTAGTCTTCACATGAAACTAAAGCAATAAACTGTGCCAAAAACCTCACAGGGCAAGAAGATGAACTCAGAGTCTTCAGAGCTAGAAATGACTTGGGAAATCGTTTTATCCAATAGTTCTTAAGCCTGGCTACAAATTGGAAGGACCTGGAGGTCTTTAAAAATGCTGGGCCCTGCACCCCAGAGCTGCTGTTTTAATTTGTCTGGCAAGCAACCTGGGCACTAATGCGTGTAAGAGTTCTCCAGGCGTTTCCAATATGTAGCCAAGGTCAAGCATCACAGATTTAGTCCATTGGTTTCCAAACTTGCACTACTTATCAGAATCATGTGAAGAACTTCTTAAGAGATTTCCAGGTTCCACCCCATAACAACTGAATTAGAGTCTCTGGAGGTAAGGGGCTGAGAATCTCTATTAATAAAACAAAAACCTTTATGTGTCAATTAAAAGTAATAATAAAAGCTAAATAAAGCAATTAATGAAAAACCAAACCAAACCAATAACCTTGCCAAATATTACTGCTACACATTCTGGTTTGGAAACAACTGACTTAATAGGTAATTGTCAGTGGTATGTTGGTAAACTGACTCTTCAAAACAAACCACAAAACAAAACAAACCCCTAATTTGTAGTGGTTGCCAATTTCTATGGTGTATATACTTGCATCAAGGCTGATTTTGATCTACCAATGTGCCCTCACTAATGGCAGAGTTTGAGAGAGATATACACAGTCGAGTCTTGGGAGCCAGTATTTGCAGGTCCTATAGTCAAACTGAGAGTACCTGAATCTTCATACTCTACTTACTCACCAGATGACCTTGGGCAGGCTACTTAACCTCTTGTGCCTTAGTTTCCTGGACTATAAAACAGAATGCTAATATTAACTCTCTCTTAGAGTTGATTTCAGAAGTAAATGACTATTAATGTCTGCCATTTGTGAACAACGTTTATGTAGTACATAGGTATATCAGGTACTATTATTTTCTAGAAAATTGTTATTTATTAACAAAAACATTTATTTTTATTAGTGATAAAAGTGTCTATTAATCAATTTAACATTAGATTTGCCCTAAGCCCTGAATAATTAGTGAAAACATGTGCTTGATGTGCTAATCATATCTTCTCTAATATTCACTAGAATAATTACTCAACTATACAAATGAAGATGTTTATCTATGCACTAAAATCATCACACAGATTGGTAGAGTGTTTAAGAGCATTGGTTTAAATCTCAGTTCTGCCACTTGCCAGATGTGAGACCCTGAGCAAGCTAATGTCTCTGTGCCTCAGTTTCCACATCTTTAAAGTAGGCTTATTGTAAAGATTAAATGTAAAGTGTTTAGAATAATGCCTGGCACACAGTGAGTGCTTTATAAGGGCTAGCTACAGTAGAGTAGTTTTTGTTATTATAGTGTATATCATCAGAGGTAAACGTATTGCATTTTGGGACATGCTGCATCAATTTTTCCTGCCTCCCTAAGGAGTGGAAACTCTAGTAATTCATTTTGTTCCCTCGTGGCCTAACAAGGCCTCTAATACAGCATAATTAATCCATATACATTGAATGACTACAGATCAGGACACTGTTCATATTGACATAGAGTTCATTGTCCCTCATCTCTATATAAATCTGAACTTGGCTTGCAGGAATTGTTATAATGAACCATGTGAAATTGCTGATATTTGGTTTTTTTTGACCTCTCAAAAATGCTAATCTCATGTGGTTCAATCTAACATAACCTGATGTTAGTACCAACAGCTGAATCACATTTCTCCAGGTATTTGGGCCTTATCTACGGGTCACCTGTTCAAATCTGGCTATTGAACTCTCCCCTCTGCTTTCAGGTCTACAGAAAACCTCATTTACTTTGCACAGCAACCCATGTGTTAGGTATTATTACCTCCATTTTAAAGATGGAGAAACACGGCCAGAGAATCTGAGTCGTTAGCTCTCTGGGAAAGAAAGTTTATACTTTGGGGCTTTAGAAAGTAAATTACTTAACTTCTCTCCTTGCTGCAGTTATGAGAGCTTTTTTATTCTCCATTATAAGAATTGTCTGCATGAAAGTCTGAGGTTCCTTGATGAGAAGTATTATATAAATTCAAAGCACAGTTATTGATTGTACATTCTTTCATTAAACAAACAAAATATATGCTAATACCAAATTCACTCCAATTTTCTATTTTGTCTGCCTTTGAGAAATAAGCCAATAAACCATTACACACTTAGCTTCCTGGGGAAATGAATTTAAATGTTAATATAAATCCTTTTAGAAAAAAACAAATTTTAACAAATAAGTATTTGAACAAGGAGGGTACTTAACCACGTTCAGAATGAGAAACGTTCAGTACAAGACCCTTGGTGACTGTTGAGATAAGCTCACTAAATTTAATATTTTATAATAGACTCATACCTCTTTTGTTGGAAATGGAGAAACAGAATCATTTTCTTTTTCATTTTATTGGAATATATTTAAATCTCTCCAATTTTATTTTGCTAATAGTCAGGGCAGAGTCTGTCTATCAATGTATCCTGATTTATCACAGGTAATCCCACACTTTAGCATTCGTGTGTCGTACTTAACCTCAATTTAAATGTAAATTTTGGGCAACTTTGAGTGCTTTATCTGTGAACTTTGAGAGCTCTCTTCATTAATGAGGACTGTACTAATTATAAGCAGTTTTTAAAGGTTTTCCTAAAACAATTGCAGAATTGACACCAAAATGAACAAATTCAGAATTTATTTGTTTTTTTAAAAAATACTGGCACCCTTGTGCAAATTTCAGGCTCATGGCTCTACTCCCAAGGTATGCACACAGGAGGGTTGGTGGGTGGAATGAAAGCAGAATGAAATACCAGAGAAACCAGTGAAAGCGAAAGTGAAAGTGAGCTGGGTTTACCCTCAAACAGGATCTTTCTTCCTGATGAAAGAAACCATACCCTCTTCTTTGAAAAAAATTCTCCTACAAACTACTCTTGGCTTCTCTCTTTTTGATGATCCAAGTCAGGAATACGAAGTGTAGCAGCAGTTAATAAAAGTAGCACCATCAAAATTATTATACAAACAAACAAACAAAAACAAACAAAAACCAAACCCACAAAAAACAATGTTCAAATACTCACAGGGACATCCACATATTTGGAAGCTGCCTTCACCTAAGGAGGAAAGAAGAGGATGGAAGTAAGGCTGGTGTTTATGTTGAATTGTTCACTGCTCAATACTATATCCCTATCAGAGTCAAAACAATATGCTGGCACATGGAGCTGACCAGGAAAAACAAAAAGGTACTAAAAAATAAAATCTGTTTGCTATTTTTTTTTCAAGCCATAGACACTGCTTTGCAGAAAGAGAGAGAGAGAGAGCATGTGCAGTTTTACTGATTCACATGCTGGTGCTGGAGTGGAAAATTTGCATGTTCCTCCCTCACTTGAAAAAGGAGAAAAGTGACTTTAGCTAAACCCAAACTGATTAGTGGAGGGCTCACTGGTTCAGAAAAGCCCCTAAGACTGCTACCACTTCTTGTACTTTGGGTCTTTGTGTAAGTTGGCTGTAGTTTACCCTAACGGAATCCTCTAGTTGTCAGTTTCCATGAACTCAGATCTTTAAGAGGAAGGCAATGTGGTGGGTGGGCAACCTCAATCCAGAGGGAGAGGAGTGTCTGTGGATGGGGGTACTGGAGCCTTTCAAAACTGTCCCAAGGCTGCTGTTATATCTTCTGGTTTTCAGTGCAAAACATTCTGATGGGAGTTGCAGGAAGAGACTATGATATTTATTTTCAGTTTTTGGGGGGAGAGAGTATGGGAGAGTGTAGTGTTTGAGAGCATGGAGTTTGGAGTCAGACCTCAGTTGGAATCCTGATTCTATCACTTACAAGCTGTGTGACCTTGGGCAAGTTACTTCATCTCTCTGAGCCTCAGCTGCCTCATCTGCAAAACGGAGATACTAATACTGCCTATTTCAGCAAGTTGATGGGTGTGAATTCACACTAAGTCCTGGGGTATAGTAAGCGCAGAATAAATGGCAGCTGAAATAATCAACTCATCAGCAAATGTGGGTGAGCTCTGGGTGTTGTGAGAAGTCGATGAAGAACTAGGTTTGGGAAATAAAACCTATGGGAATATGTTTGATACTCTGTGTGTTTCATTTGAACTCAGGTCTCACATGTTCCTCTAGTCACAGGTTAGACCACAACTGGTGTCAGAGAGGGGTTCCAGTTTTAGCTACAAAGACTGATGCACATGAAGCAGTCAGGGTATCTTTTCACATCTCTTCTAGGTTTCCTCCTGCAATTTGGCTGAGACCAATATTAGGAATCACAGCTCCACCCAGATGTCTCCCAGAAAAGTACCAAGGGGAATGATTTCCTTTACTGCTCTTTTCTTGTTGCTACTTTTCAAAATGTCAACCCCTAAGAGAGAACAGTCAATGAACCAATAGTGTGGCATCATTTTTGTCTATGAACTTTGAGAGTTCTCTTCATTAATGAGGACTGTACTAATTAAAAGCAGTTTTTAAGGGTTTTCCTTAAACAATTGCAGAATCAACCCCAAAATGGACAAATTCAAAATTGATTTGTTTTTAAAAAAATACTGGCACCCTTGTGCAAATTTCAGGCTCATGACTCTACTCCCAAGGTGTGCACACAGGAGGGTTGGTAGGTGGGATGAAAGCAGAATGAAATACCAGAGAAACCAGTGAAAGTGAAAAAGGCAGGGAGTTAGAGTTAAAAGTTCTCTAAGTTCCAGAACTAGTTGGCACTGGGGAAATAATGCCAAGGTCCTTAGCCTTGGATCCCAGATTTCTAGACAGGGGTGACAATACTGCAGGGTTGATAGCTTAATGAAGTGAGAAAGCATATGAGAAAGTGTTTGGAAATGTTTAAGTGGGGAACACACATCACTTGGTTATATTAAGGGGGCGACACATTCTATCTTCTTGAATCATTGCCAGCACCTGAGATGATTCCTGGATTCTCCTGCTATAGATTCTCTTAAAGCCCTACCCTTGTTCTTTGCAGCACTGATTGTAATTGCAATTTGGTAACTTTTTGGGTAATGTCTACTTCCCACGGAATGTCATAAGAGCAAAGGCTATCTTGGTCTTGCTCATGGCTGCCTCCTCATTGACTCACATGGTACCTGGCTTAGAAAAGGAACTCAGGGAAAATCTGCAGAGGGAAGGAATGAGAGAAAGCTAGTGACTAGTTCTGGCTTCAGGATGGTTGACAAATAAGCAGAGAAAAGACCATATCAAGAAGCCACTGCATTGGTCAGCCTGAAAACCATCACAATTGTATAGAACACTGACTGACTGCAAAGGATGAGATGGGTGGGGGGAACCACTCTTAGCCCTTAAAGTGATTTGAGGAAGGCTGTCTAGATTTTGCACAAGTACCATCTCCTTCCTTCCCTCTTTCTCTCCCTCCTTCCCTTCCTTCTCTTCTTCCTTCTTTCCTTCCTTCCAAGATGGGGTTTCACTCTGTTGCCCGGACTGGAGTGCAGTGCCACGATCTTGGTTCACTGCAGCTTCGACTGCCTGGGCTCAAGTGATCCTCCTTCCTCACCCTCCTGAGTTACTGGAACTATAGGCATGCACTACCACGCCAAGATAATTTTTCAATTTTTTGTAGAGACAAAATCTTGCTTTGTTACCCAGGCTGGCCTCAAACTCCTGGGCTCAAGCAATCCTCCCACCTTGGCCTCCCAAATTGCTGGGATTACAGATGTGAGTCACCATGCCCAACGCAATTACCATTTAGCTTGTTGTTGTTGTTGTTGAGTTGGAGTCTCCCTCTGCCACCCAGGCTGGAATGCAGTGGCACTGCAGCCTCAACCTGCAGGGCTCAGGTGATCCTTCCCCCTCAGCCTTCCAAGTAGCTGGAGTCACAGGTGTGCTCCACCATGCCTGGCTAATTTTTCTTGATTTATTGTAGAGACAAGGTCTTGTCAAGTTGCCCAGGCTGTTCTCACACCCTTGGGCTCAGGCAATCCTCCCGCCTTAGCCTCCCAAAGTGCTGGGATTACAGGCGTGAGCCACCACACCCGGCCCACAATTACCGTTTCTATTAAATGATTCTCAACCTTAAATATTTCTTCTTCATTCTTGTTCTAGAATTTAGTTTAGGCAAGAAGGTGGCTTGCCTTTTTTTCAAGTCTCCCCTATGTATAATAATATCTAACATTTAGATGATGTTTCTTATTTGCAAAAATACTTTTATGAATAGTTTCTTCTTTAAGTCACCCTGAAAAATGGGGGCTATTAGTCACATTAATTTATAGTTGAGAAGACTGAAACCCATGGAATTTAAGGAATTTATTTGCTCATGATCTCAGCCAGAAGGCAGAGAAGGCAGGACTTCCATGTGGTCTTCTGAACCCAAATTTTTTCCTTGGAATTCCTGATCTCAACATTGGTAGCAAAAAGTACAAAGAATTCAAGCATCAGTGGTCAGAGCAAGTGCTGGCAAAATAGTTCTTCTCAGCTAGAAATTGCCTCCTTTGCTCTGTAAAGTTGATGCTTGGCAGTTGGTAGGAGTTTTGCTACAGCTGAAATGATCAACCTTTAAACACGCCTACTCTCCATTTACCACTAACATGCAGTTCCAATTGGGAGAATGACACCAGTCAAATTCTATTCCTGTCCAGGCCATTTGGGAAGATGAGGAAAGCTCTGTCATGAATGAAAACCATCCAGTCTCTCCATGCACCAGCCTTCAGTTTGTTAGGATTGTTCTTTTATTGGAGAACTGCTGGCTTGCACTTAGTCTTATTGATCTTCCTCTCATCCCATAATACCAGGAAAAATAGCTCAGGGTAAATTGTGGTTCTATTATTATTCAGAGACGTGGTGTATCATTTTTGATTTTGGACACTGAACTTTAGGAAGGATATTGGTGATGAGGGTAAGAGGGAGTCTGGAGGTTTATTATTATTATTATTTTTGAAAGTAGGATTTATTGAGAGGACAGAAAAGCTCCCAGAGTGGGAGGGCACCTGGAAGTGTATTCTATAAGGAAAGAAGCCATATTGCAAAGAAGCTGTAATATTCAGGGAGTTCATTAAGGCACTTCAGTGTAGAAGGACTGAACTTGTTCATGGTGGTTCCAGAGCATAGAATCAGGTAGAATAAGGAAAATGACAGGGCCCCAGAAGAAGGTCTACACAGCTACCACAGGCCAGCCAGGAACTGGCCATGTCTGGTAACAGAGACCTTCTCCTCACTGGAGAAGCTTGAGCACAGGCTATGTAGGATGCCCTGGATGTAATTCTTCACCTACATGAGCAGTTACCTCCCAGGCTGCTTCCTGTTCTCTGAGTCCAGTCTCCTTAAGTGGTAGAAATTGCCATCAGATCTATCTTTTCTCTCTCTCTCCTCTCTCTCCTTTTTTTCAGTAGACAGGTTGAGATGTGGCAGAGTGAAAAAACTGGTAGAACCAGAACCAGGATTAGAACCCTTTCCTGCATAATGCCAACAGTGCTCCCTTTAAGTATCTTTAATCATCCACAGGAATATGTCTTTTTGCTAACTATACTCTAAATGACCAGATCCTCCCAACTCACTGGAGCTTTGGAATTACTGACAGAAAATCCGAGCATACACCATGCTCTGTGTCTAGATCAAATAAACAGCAGCCCTCACAAGCTTCACAAAACTACTTTCCATTATATGTAGATAGCATTTTGATGACTAAAACACACATTTCTTAAAAAGCACTACCTATATTATTTGTAGTTCTTTGTTTTTATGTACTTTCTCCATCAATGGTTGTCAAAAGTGTGTGTGTGTGCATGTAATTTTCTTTTCTTTTTTAACTTTGAAATAAATCTTCTAGGGAAGTGGCTAAGAGGTTCAAGATTAGAACTCTAGCTTTGCCATTTTCTAGTTTGGTGACTTTGAGCAAATTACTTAACATCTGTGAGCCTCTTCTGAAAACGGGACAATAATAATGCTATTCGAAAGGATACTACTAAATGTAGTTATTCTTATCATGATTACTGGGAATGTTGTCATACTGGTGCAAAGTACATGCTCCTCATCCTGGCAGTGACAGGCAGTTTCACTCCTCACCTTTGGCCCACCGACAATTTCTTGCTATAAAAACAATGCTGGAATCTCCCCAGGTTACCAGCAGGTATCTGAGCTGATTCTTAGCTTG